CCCACCTTTCCATCCCAATTCCAAGGCCCCAATATGGATTGATTCTCTCTTCTTTCTTCTAGTCTCGTTTTTAACCTTCTGGAGCCTGCCCACCACTGCCCAAGTCACTATGGAATCTGTGCCGCTCAATGTTGTGGAGGGGAAGGACGTTCTTCTACTCGTCCACAATGTGCCACAGGACGCTCTAGGCTACAACTGGTACAAAGGGGACAAGGTGGACAGCAACTATAGAATTGTAGCATATGTAATAAGCACTCAGGTAAACAACACAGGGCCTGCGTACAGTGGTCGAGAGACAATTTACCCCAATGGATCCCTGCTGTTCCAGAACGTCACCCTGCACAGGATACTACACCCTACACGTTACAACGGCAGATCTTCAGAATGAAGAAGTAACTGGACAGTTCCGTGTGTACCGTGAGTGATTCCCTGTGACCTCTGGGTGTTGGGGGGTTAGTTCTACCTCACACACACGGACTTGTCAGGCCCCGACTGTGCCTGCCTCCCCCTCCCATCATGTCCCACGTTGGGTTTTGGGCACTTAGTGCAGGACACACACAGAGGAGACAAACGTCCAAAGATCAGAATCCTTTCCTGCGTCCAGACCTGCAGACATTCCCTGCAGAGGAAGGACCAGTGTCACGGGTAACTCAGCCCCCGGGACCTCCACATGAACATGGCCCTGAGAAAGACCCTGTAGGACCTGGTAAGGGCCTGGCCTGAGGAGCCCCCTGGGATCCCCACAGAGAAGCTCAGGCCCAGGGTTCCGGAGTCCAAGTGTCCCTGGGGAGACCATGGACAGGGCTAGGCTTTGGCCTCCAGACTGACGGCTACAATTTACCAGCTATCTGAGGTTCCTGGAGCTGGTCACCAGCCAGGGCCTGACCCCACAGCCTCATCTGGGCAATCACCATGCCCAGAAAGTCACCTGAGACTCAGTGTGGGTGGCATAGACGGACAATTTCCTCAGGCCACCAGCTCACTGCCCTGGGGGACTTAAGAGACTTCAGGGAAGCCACTGTCTCCAGGGGGAGGGACAGAGGACAGAGGATGCTCCTGGAAGCCACCTGTCCACCAGGGATCAGGCCGCGGGGCTCTCATGGATGCAACAACAATCGATGCTGTTTATTTGGGCAGCTCCTCTGTACGAAGCTTTAGGTCAGGTAATTGTGAATATTTTAAGGTTAATTGACAGACAAGATAAGCCAGAGACCGTTTACCATGTATCCTATTTTACTGAGGGAAACTGAGGCACGGCACAACAGAGTCACTGAATTAGAGTCACACAAAACATGACTGAAGATCAGAGTCACAGGAGGCCTGTCTGCAGCCGCAGCCTCAACCTCCCTCAACTCCAGGGGCCTTATTAGGCATCTGGGGACCCCAACGCCAGTGCTGGGTTCAGCTGCATCGGCAGCTCAGAGGGGGAGATTCGGTCTGGGGAGTGAGGAGCAAATGGAGAATTAGTCAGTTTCACTCTAGAACTGAACCACCTGCCTCAACAAGCAGAGTGAGTGTCAGGAATGCCCAGGCCTCCCCCTCAGCCACACCCCCCTCCCTGGACTCTAAACCAGGTGTTTCCTTGTGTGTCCGTGTCACTCCCACAGAGGGGACAGGAAAGGATGTGGCTTTCTCTCTCCCCACTCACACCCTGCACCAACACAGGGTCCGACATGTGACATACTCTCAGTAGTTCTCTGATGAAGGAGGGAGGGAAGGAATGAATGAATGAGTGAATGATCCATGACCTCTTCGGAGACTGGATCCTGGACGCAGAACACTAGGAGGTTCTTACCGCGCCTGTTCCCTGTCCCTCAGGGGCTGAGACCCGAGCTCCATCCCTCTGACCCCTGCCCCAAAGCCACCAGGAACCCGTCTCATGTGACTCTGGGGCTTCCCAGCTGTGGAGGGTTTCAGGGATCCCTGGTCCTGCTCGTGGGGTCTCTGAAGTCCCTGGAACCTCCGTGCTCACTGCCATGGCATGTCTGGCTCTTTCTGCTCCTCCATATCCCTCATCTTCCTCCCCCTTCATTCCACCCTGCGTCTGCCCTACACAGCTTCCTCCACCCTCAAGCCTTCCCCTGACACTCCCACTGACAACAGCTGCCTGTCCTGGTCCCTTCCTGCTAACCCTGTGGACAGACCCACCTCCCAGGCAATAGTAAAGGCACAGAAATCAGTCAGAGCAGCTGCCCCTGCCAGGCTCCATCACAAGCCAATGTCCCCAGGTCACCAGGAGAATGAGCTTTCACTATATCCCCACTCAGGGTTCTGTCCCTCTGTGAGGCTGACACATGGGACAGGCCATGGGACAAGGACAGGCGACCCCTTCATCTATTTTGTACGTTGCCTGACCAGGGGTCAGAGGAGAAAGACAGGTCTGCAAACCCCAAAGCCACAGGCTCATTTCACCCACGGACTCCTGACTGCAGCCTCGTCCTGGCGTGAGGCTCACGTCCTCCATGGTTCTTGGGACCTTCCCAGGTGGAGCTAGCCAGACCAGTGCTGTCTGAGGGGTGACAGCCTGCTCCACAGGCACCTACGTCCCTCCAGATGGCATGGTTACTAGAAGGTGGGGTCCCTTAGATGATGAGATGCACAAGCCAGGGTATCTCAGTTAGACTCTGCCCAGTTTGGACAAATTTGATCAAACCCTAGTCGTGTTCCCTGAGGTCAAGAGAAAGGAAGAAAGCATTTCACATGCCTTGTCAGGCTCCTCCCCATTTTGCCTAACTGTCACCAGGAATGATGGTCACGAAACTCTTTCTAAATTTACTACCATCACACATATCACTTCTCCTAATTTGGTATCTTTCTTCTCTTTTTATTATTGAGACACCTCAGACTTCCCTCTGACCAGTTCTGTCCTCGTAACGGCACTCGCACGTCTCTCTCTACCCAGGGAGTCACTGATTCCAAACCGACTTCAGCATCTTCCTTTGAGCGTAATGTGACCTGCTGGACTTCAGAGCTTGGTCCAAGACCTCATCATGCTCTCTACAGAAATATTCCTCCCAGCAATTGGTCTTAGATCCTGAGTATTAATAATACTTTTCAGACATGGAAGAAACTTAACATCTCCTATTCCTATCCCGTCTGCCCATCACACGAGGTCCATGAGTCCAGATTCCAGCATGTTCGTGCTCCCCCTTTGCACCAGTCAGGTCTGCGTTTGCAAACGTCCACGTGTATTTCCAGCAAGATCCACCTGGTCCTCACCTGCCCTCTACAGGGGGAGAAGGGACATTAAGGACCAAGGGCAGGGAACATAGTTCTGCTCCAAACCACCAGCTCCTACCTGTTCCCTCACTCTTTTCTAGATCATTCCTTGGACTCCGCTCTACCTTTTAGGAGTCACTGGCTCATGTCATTCGCCATCAAGCAGCTGGGAAAAACTGCCCCAACCTGTGGCCCCACAACCTGACTGCTGAGCTGATCTCCAGGCTGCCTCCTGCTCTCCCTGCGTTATTTGTGCTCAAACACCCAGTCCCAGGCCAGGCTGCCCAGTACCCTCAGGGTCTAAGGACAATGGGAAGTCCCATCAGTACCCGTCTCTGGGATATCTGAGGACAGCCTCAGAGAAACACACCTAGGGGGCCAAAGTAGGACTACGAAGCTAGAAGGGACCTAACGTCCGCATGTTCCAGGTGAGAACCACAAGGTCAGTCAGGGAAGGACCAGGAGAGGCGCCAGGGTCGGGGTGGAGGGGCACTCTGGCTCCAGGTCCTGTGTCTGTCCACCACCCCATGCTGCTGCTCAACTGAGAAAGTCTGTGCATCTCCCAGACACAGAGCAGGGGGCCTCACGTTCTCTGAGCCCTCAGATCGTCATGCATCTGTCTTGTGACACACACACCTGCCTTGTCTTTTAATCACTCAGGTTGGCTGAGAGGTGAGATGCCAACTCTGACTGGGGGATGACTTTAGGGGAATCAAAGGTACCACACAGGGCAACCTTCTCTCTGTTATCTGCGCAGCCGAGTTACCCAAACCCTCCATCGCAAGCAACAACTCCAGCCCCGTGGAGGACGAGGACTCTGTAGCCTTAACCTGCGAACCTGAGACTCAGGACACAACCTACCTGTGGTGGATAAACGGTCAGGGGCTCCAAGACAGTGACAGGGTAGTGATGTCCCTGGACAACAGGACCCTCATTTTACTCAATATCTCAAGGAATGACACAGGACCCTATGAGTGTGGAAACTGGAACCCAGTGAGTGCCAGCCGCAGTGACCCAGTCACCCTGAATGTGCTCTGTGAGTATTTTCTGTTCCTCCACAGCCCAGGCTGCAGCCCAAATCCACATGGCCAGAGACCAGGCCATTCAGTCCCTCTCGGGTCCAAGTACACAGACCCTCACCCTTGGACACCAGGCTGGCCAAGACTTCCTGCCCCAGGCAAACCCGGGCAGGCCCAGCCTTGACCAAGAATAGGAGGGAGGGGCTGCTCCTGTCTTGAGATGCTCATGGTCAACAACCTGTGATGAGAGAAACAGGTCAGTGTCTCAATGTCTCAGACACAGGTTATGGTTGGGAGTTTTGTTTTTTTTTTAAGAGACAGGGTCTCATTCTGTTGCCTAGGCTGGAGTGCGCTGGTGGGATCACAGCTCACTGGAACCTCCAACTCCTGGGCTCAAGTGATCCTCCTGCCTCAGTCTCCTGAGTAGCTAGGACTACAGGCATGCACCCACCACCAAGCCCAGTTAGTTTTTTTCATTTTCTGTACAGACAGGGTCTCCCTATGATGCCCAGGCTGGTCTCTAACTCCCAGCCTCCAACCTCTGCCTCTAAAAGCACTGAGATTACAGGTGTGAGCTGCCGCACCTGGCCAGGTTGTAACTCTTTAACCAAGGTTGTGACAGGATTCAGAGGGGTACTATGGTCCTTCTACCAGACCTCTTTCCTCTGATGACATCACGTGTGGCTTTATTCTTTGTCCAGATGGCCCCGACGTCCCCACCATTTCCCCCCCAGACTCCAATTACCAACCAGGTGCAAACCTCAACCTCTCCTGCCACGCGGCCTCTAACCCTGCTGCACAGTATTCCTGGCTTATCAATGGGAGTCTCCAGCAAACCACACAAGAGCTCTTCGTCCCCAACGTCACTGTGAATAACAGCGGATCCTATGCCTGTGTGGCCCACAACTCTGCCACTGGCCGCAATACGACCACAGTCAAGATTATCACAGTCTCCGGTAAGTGAATCCCTGGAGGATTGGCATTAAGTTTTGGCCTGGACTATGTCTGGTGTTCAGAGAAGGGCCATGAAGAAGTTTTCTTTCCCAGCCTGAGTCCTGGGCACAAACAAGTCCCAGCTTCCCCCCTGAGCCCTCCCACTCCGTCTCTGCAGACTGTCTCCTCCCCTGGCTTCTCTGATTTCGCACACCTGACCTTGGGTCCAGCCTGGAGTGTGGGGAGGGGGTTGCCTCAGCCCCAGAGAGCCCCATCTAGTGGGAGGAACTTCACAGAGGTGGGGGAGGAAGGGTCCTCAAGGTCAAGTGGCTTCTTTCTTTCACCAACACGTCCCTTTCTGTAACTTATTTGCTTTTTTTTTTTACCTACTCCATGAACTACAAGGAACATAGGAGGTTTTGAAATAGGCTCACATTACTTTTCCCCAAATGAGAAGATGAAACCCCCTCAGAGGAGGGATGAGCATCTCGGAGCTCTGCTCCCTGCTCTGCTCCCAGCTCGCCTGGTGACCGGCTCTCTCTGACTCCATCTGGGGTGGGACGGGCTATGTGGAGAAGGTGTCCGGATGGCCTGGCCTGAATCTGGCCACATTGTGCTGCCAGAGCCTTCCCCTGGTGAAGTGGCAGGGAAATGGGAAGAGAGAAAGCCTCAGAGCAGACTCCTGGCCTGTGTCCTGGCTCTGAAGTCACCAAATACATAAAGCTGTGGACACAGCACCTGTGACGCACTACAGACAACAGCGAGTGACGCCCCCATGGAGAAATGGAAAGATCCACCCGTGGAGTCTCTGCAGGCGGAAGTGGCAGCTCCAAAAAGTTTATATCTGTAGAGAATGTAAGAGCCTCAGCCTTTTATTAACACTAGTCCACAGACCAGGAAGTAAAAGTCCTCTTCACATTGAGAAATCCTTTAGATCAGAACTTGTTCAGATACAAGGTCATGAAGATTGGCGGGGCCTTCTTCATTCCCTAATAAGTTATTTAGTGGAAGAAAGCACCTCTTTTGTATGTAAAGCGACAGTACTAGGAAGGGGGCCTGATCACAGGATGCTCCAGGAAAAGGTCATGTAACAGTCAATGGGAGAAACGTTGCACCTGACGACGAGGTTGCAGGACGTGTGCGCTGAGAGAAGGGTCCTGGTGCGGAGACCACAGAGATGTCCAGGGGAGTAGTCAGGGGTCAGCCTGGGGTCAGAGGGGAGGTGCCGCCCTCTCCTTACAGAGCATCTCCTGAACAAAGACACCCGACCTTCTACAGAGGGTCACAGCTGTCCCTAGGTGGTCACCTTTGCACAGCTCACAGTGGGACCTGACAGCTGGCTGAGATCTCTGAGGAAGGAGCATGGCCCCAGGCCCTAGGCCACTCTCAGTCCTCTGTCTGTCCATAGAGACACAGCCAGTGGCACAGCCCTCCATCCACGCCAGCAGCAGCACAGTCACAGAAGACAAGGACTCCGTGGTCCTGACCTGCCTCACAAGTGACACTGGAATCTCCATCCAATGGATCTTCAATAACCAAAGTCTACAGGTGACAGAGAGGATGGAGCTGTCCCAGGACAACATCACTCTCAGCATAAACCCTGTCAAGAGGGAGGATGCCGGGGAGTATCAGTGTGAAGTCTCCAACCCAGTCAGTCACTACCGAAGTGACATCTTCAGGCTGACCGTGGAATGTGAGTCACCCCTCGCCCCTCCCTACATCTTCCCGGGAGGATTACTCTGCCAATGGTGTGCAAAATGGGTAAAAGTCCAGGGGACAGAATATCAGTTAAGAGACCATTAGAGTAAACAGAATTGCAAAGTGGTTAAGAGCTCGGGCTCTGAATCAGATATACTTAGTTTTTTATCCTGGGTCTTGCATTTATTGTGTGACTTTGCATAACATTGTGTTTTTGTTTCTCTGTTAACATTTGTGTGTGTGTGGTAAAATATACAATACATAAGACTTACATTTTAGCCATTTTCAGTGTACAGGTCGGTGGCATTAAGTACATTCACATCGTACAACCATCACCACTATCCATTTCCAGAACTTTTTCTTCCTACTATACTAAGCTTGTGTACCCCTTAAACAATAACTACCCACTGCCCCTCCCCCCAGCCCCCAGTAACCACCATTATACTTTCTGTCTCTGTGCATTTGACTATTCTAAGTACCTCTCATATAAGTGGAAACATACAATATTTGTCCCTTTTTGTCTGGCTTACTTCTCTTAGCATAATGTCTTCAAAGTTCATCCATGTTGTATAGCATGTATCAGAATTTCATTCCTTTTTGAGACTGAATAATATTCCACTGTATAGATATACCACATTTTACTTATCCATTCTTCCATCTATGAACACTAAGGTTGCTTCCTTCTTTTGCCTATTATGAATAAGGCTGCTATGAACGTGACTATGTAAATATCTGTTCTAATCCTGCTTTCAGTTCTTTTAGGTATATATCTAGAAGTGGAATTGCTGGATCAAATGGAGATTCGCTGTGTTTTGAGGAACCACCATATCATTTTCCACCATGGCTGTACCATTTTATATTCCCACCAGCAATGCCCAAGAGTTCCAATTTCTCTACATCCTCAAAAACACTTGTTTTCTGTTTTTGTTTTGTTAGCCATCTTAATGGGTGTGAGGTGGTATATCACTGGAGTTTTGATTTGCATTTCCCTAATGATTACCAATGTTTAGCATCTTTGCATATGTTTATTGGCCATTTGTTTATCTTCTTTGGAGAAATGTCTATTCATAAAGTCCTTTGCCCATTTTTCAATTGGGATGTTTGGGGGTTTTGGGTTGCTGTTGAGTTGTAGTAGTTCTTTATATATTCTGGATATTAATCCCTTTTCCGATATATGATTTTCAAATATTTTCTCCCATTCTGTAGGTGGTCTTTTCACTGTCTTGATAATGGCCTTTAATGCACAAAAGTTTTTACTTTTCATGAAGTCCAATTTATCCATTTTTTCTTTTGTTGCCCATGCTTTTGGTGTCATAGCCAAGAAATCATTGCCAAATCCAATGACTTGAAGTTTTAACCCTATGTTTTCTTCTAAGATTTTTATAGTTTTAGCTCCACATTTAGGTCTTTGATGAATTTTCAGTTAATTTTTGTATATGGTGTTAGGTAAAAGTTCAACTTCATCTGTCACATGGATATCCAATTTTCTCAACACCATTTGTTGAAAACACGATCCTTTCCCCATTGAATGGTCTTGGCACCCTTGTCAAAAGCCATTCGGCCGTATATGCAAGTTTTTATTTCTGGGCTCTCTAGTCTACTCCACTGGTTTCTATGTCTTATTTTATGCCAATGCCACATTGTTTTGAATACCGCAGCTTTGTAGTAAACTTTGAAATCAGGAAGTGTGAGCCCTTCAACTTTGTTCTTCTTTTTCAAGAGTGTTTTGGCTATTCAGGGTCCCTTGAGATTCCATGTGAATTTTAGAATGGGTTTTCCTATTTCTGCAAAAAATCTCACTGGGATTTTGATGGGATTGCATTGAATCTGTAGTTCACCTTGGGTAGTGCTGTGATTGTAATAATACTACATCTTCCAGTTCATGAAAACAGGACATCTTTTCCATTTATGTATGTCTTCTGTAATTTTTTTTTCAGCTATGTTTTGTAGTTTTCAGGGTACAAGTATTTCACATTCTTTAAGTTTATCCTAAGTATTTTTTTTTTGAAGCTCTTGTAAATAGAATTTTTTTCTTAATTTCCTTGTGGGCTGGGCACGGTGGCTCATGCCTATAATCCTAGCATTCTGGGAGGCCAAGGCGGGAGGATTGCTTCAGGTCAGGAGTTTGAGGTTGCTGTGAGCTAGGCTGACACCACGGCACTCTGGCCCAGGCAATAGAGTGAGACTCTGTCTCAAAAAAAAAAAAAAAAAAATTCCTTTTGGAGTGTCCATTGTTAGTATCCAAAAATACAACTTTGCATGTTTTTTTTACCTGCAACTTTGCTGAATTTGTTTATTAGCTCTAACAGTGTTTTTGTGGAATCTTTAGGGTTATCTACTTAACAGTTCATGTCATCTGCAAACAGAAATAATTTTGCTTCTTTCCAATTTGGATGCTTTTTTTTTTCTTGCCTAATTCCTCTGGCCAGGACTTCCAATACTCCACTGAATAGAGTGGCAAAAGCAGGCATCCTCATCCTGTTCGTGACCTTAAAGGAAAAGTTTTCAGTCTTTCACAACTGAGTATGATGTTAGCTGTGGGCTTTTCATATATGGCCTTTATTAGGTTGAGGTTGTTTACTTCTATTCCTAGTTTGAGTGTTTTTATCATGAAAGAATGCTGAGTTTTGTCCAATGCTTCTACTGATTGAATTTCGTTACTGGTGTAGGTCTATTCAGATTTTCTGCTTCTTTATGATTCCACCTTAGCAGGTTTTGTGTTTCTAGAAATCTGTCCATTTCACCTAGTTATCCAATTTGTTGGCACACCATTATGCCTAGGACTCTGATAATCACTGTTTCTGCAGAATTGGTAGTAATGGCTTCACTTTCATTTCTGGTTGTAGTAATTGGAATCTTCTCTCTTTCTTTCTTAGTCAATCTAGATAAAGGCTGTCAATTATGTTGATCTTGTTTGAAGAACCAAGTTGTGGTTTCATTGATTTTCTCCATCATTTTTCTATTCTCCATTCTATTTATCTCCACTCTAATCTTTATTATTTCCTTTACCCACTATCTTCAGGTTTAGTGTGTTCTTTTTCTTTATCCTTAAGTTGCAAAGTTAGGTTGATTTGAGATATTTCTTCTTTTTAATGTGTTTATAAGTTTCTTGTGCAAGATTCTTAACTTTGAGCCTCAGATTCTTCAACCAAAAATTGTAACAAGAACCTGCTTCATGGTATTGTTTTAAATATTTAATGTAATTATCAATTAAACCTTCGGCAAAATGCCACACACAGATGAAATGTTTCCTAAATGTTAGCTGCTATTATTACTACTGTTACCACTAGCCTTGAAGTCAGATAGTCCTAGCTAGAGTTAAATCCCAGATCCACCTCTCACCAGCTGTATGACTTTGGGTAAGTTTTTTCACCACTCTATGCCGCCATTTTTCACTTTTAAAATGCAAATAATGTATCCCCAACAGGGTCACAGTATAGATCAAATGAGATACATATAAAATATTTAGCACAGGGCCTGGCACATAGTAAGTATTCCACAATCATAGCTAACATTAGCATTAATCCTCTGGCTTGAGTTGACTGGTGAGAGCTAAGGCCCAAACGGTTGCAACAGAAATAAAGGAGAAACAGGTGCAAAAGATATTTTATGTAGATACAGATACAGATAGATATATAGATATTTACACACACACACACACACATAGGAGGGAAGATGCATTACACACAAAAACACCACTGGGACATGGTTACTGACTAAATATGGGAGGGGATAAAAGGAGCTAAGTGCAGTCTCAAGCCTGGTACATTCATTTTCATCCACTGAGATACAGCCATGATGGGATTACACACATACAGGATAATTTACTGGGGAAAATGTCTGTGAGGGAGGGTGGGGCAGGAGTGGAAGGAGCCTGGGAGAGCCCTCAGACCACACTGCAGGTCTGATGCCTGTGAGGGAGAAAGAGAAGGGAGTTTTAGGCTGCAGTGCAGTTCTAAGGGAGTTTCTGGAAGGCTGATGGGGAGTCCTCAAGCCAGTCACCCATCAGAGGAAACCAGAGCCTGGCAGAACTGGGCTTGCCTTCATACCTGTGCTGGGAGCCCCTGGGAAGTGAGGTCTCTGTGCAAAGGAGGTTGGGAACCCAGAGGACACTGGCCTGGGCCTTCTGTCAACTCAGTCCCTGCCATAGAGACCTGAGAGGCTCATGTTCATGGCTCTGAGACACTGAGAAAAATATGCAACCACAAAGACGTGGAAAGTTATAATAAAATACACACATTGCAAGGAGTCTTTCTCCATTTCAAAGCCTTCAAAATATCTGAGTGCAGAAAGCCCAGGATGGAATTGACCAAAGGCTGATCACCAACCTAAAACATGGTGAGAGGAAAAAAACTGCAAGAATTTAGTTGGCTAATCAACTCCCAGCAACCTTCTCACACACATACAAAAATATTCCTTAAAGGAACAAGTAGAGACTACTTAATGCTGAGAGTTATTTCCCAGGGCACCCCCACTGTAAAACAATTCCACCTTCATTCCTTCTCCTCTTTTCCCATGACAGATTCTTCAACACAAGGAAATTCTCCTAGCCTCTCGGCTGGGGCCATTGTTGGCATCGTGATTGGAGTCCTGGCCGGGGTGGCTCTGATAGTAGCCCTGGTGTATTTTCTGTATTTCAGGAAGACTGGCAGGTATGACGGCCTTTCCTCTGTTAGGTTCGTCCGAGGCTAACTGCCACGCTCGGGAGAGGGAAAGAAGTTCTTCACCTGTCTCTGGGCCTGGATCTCCTCCTCCTCCCCCTAAACTCCTGCTTCTTGGCACTAATTCCTGCAGGTCTCTTCTTCCCTGGTCTTCATGCTCCCTGCACCCCACCCTCTCCTGGACATGGCTATTCCAATCCCCGTATAGTCTAGAGGAATAGACCTAATTATGTTCCTCTGTTCCCCAGTCAGGGAAGCCAAGGTCCAAGAAGGAAAACAAATGAGAAAATGAAAGAAGCAGCAGGATTAAGCAAGTCATGTGCTCCACTGACCACAGTAGCAGGATGAGGGAGAAACAGGACAGGAAGAGAACCTAAGAGAAAGCACAAACAACCAAAGTCCTTTCAGACAATAGGAAAAAACAAGAATCTACTCTTGGAAAACAAAATGGGAAATCTCTTAGGGTAGAAGTAAGCACAGAAGCAGTCAATAGAGAATGGACCTAAATGTGAACATCCAGCAACCAGGAAGAGTAAACCCTAGAAGAGATCGTGGTTAGATTGAAGAGGCTCTAACAGGAAAGGCAGCACCAACCATGGTTTGAATGAACATCAAGGAGCCCCAAGAAATTACCTGCTAACAGTGTCCTTCCTAACTCAGGGAGCAAAGATCCTGTGCTTGGGAATAGCAGTCACAGTGTCTGATGTTTATTTAGGGCAAGAGACCAGCATGATCTCACAGAGCACAAATCCTCAGCCTCCAACCACAGTAAGTAAAGCCACTCACTCAGTGAGAACTGTTATGTTCCACCACGTGCCCTGCCCTGGCAGGGAATCCTAGATTCCCAAATCTCCCTCCCTGTGATTTTTTTTTTCTTTTGAGACAGAGTCTCACTCTGTCACCCAGGCTGCAGTGCAGTGGCATCACCACAGCTCACAGCAACCTCAAACTCCTGGGCTCAAGCGATCCTCCTGCCTCAGCCTCCCAAGTAGTTAGGGCTACAGGTGTGCGCCACCATGCCCAGCCTCCTTCTGAATTTTGACAGAGGGGATCTCCATTTCCCAATCTTGAGCTGGCACAGGTCCTCACCTTTCCTAGCCACAGGAGTCCCCTGAGACACAGCTGTGCCAAAGAGGCTCCCTCCACCTAGGCCAGGCAGGCCTGAGCAAGATCCCATGTTCCCAGGAGCCATTTCCTCATCCTTACTGCTCCCGCTCCTGCCTCTATTACGGATGTGGGTGTTCTCCTTGGTGAGACTTTCCTTGTCTTTTGGGTGCTCTGGGTGCTGTGCGCCTCAATGCCCCTCCTTGCCACTGCAGCATGTTGCTGAGAAACACAGCTGGGCAAAAAGCAAGGCCTCCTGAACTGGTAGAAATCTTCAGAAGTAGGTAGCAGCCTCCTGTGGCTCCACCCCCGCCCTCCTCTAATACTGCTGCGCCGAGTCTGCCACAGACTCTGAGGGGAGCGAATTCCTTCACTGACGATGGGCCACCTCCCCACACCCAGCCACCACCACTGCCACCGCCCGCCACCTCCTTCAGCTAGAAATCACCAGGCCTTAAGTCAGCTTCGCATTTCCACGGATTGGTAACTCCTCTTTTGCTTCCCCAGGTCAGGACCACTTTGACAACTCACCTGACAAGGTAAGCACGGCCACTTTCCCTGGCTCATTTTCTCATGGAAATGACTCTGTACAGAATTGGCTATTCCTGAAGACATAAATGGGAGACAAATTTGGGCTAGAGTTCTTCAGTGCAGCAACAAAGAAGTATTGCTAAATCACGCACCTGAGTCTACCTCACGGCAAGAATGTGCACCTTGGAATCATCCCCCATCCTGTGTTGAATACTGGCTGTGACTCTTAGTAGCTCTGTGACTCTAGCCAAGTAACTTAACCTCTTTGACCCTCAGCTTCGCCATCTGTAAAATGGGCATTCTGCCTGCTTCAAAGAGAAGCTGAAGGGATTAAACAAGTTACCATGTGTAGAGCACCCAGCACCACGGTCAGAATAAGGAAGACGCTAAGTCATTCTCCCTCCTCTACCTTCGACCTGACCCTGCTCTTACTGTCAAAAGGATAACTTCCATTCTAATGGATCTGAGATCCTGCTTCCTTCATTTTATGATAATTTTACAGAATTTTTCTCATTTTAACCTTCCAATAGAACACACAAATATACTGAAAAGTGCTAGCTCATAATTATACTTTCCCGATGTATGAACTTTCACAAGCTGAACACACCCATGTAAACAGCACCCAAAGCAAGAAACACTACCTGACCCCTTCCCGGCACTTCCCTCCAGAGAGTAACCACTATCCCGACTTCCAGTGCTCCAGATCAGTTTTGCCTGGTTTTGCTCTTACACAAATGAGAAATGCAGCATATCCTTATCCGTGGCTTCTTTCATTCAACATTCTGTTGTGAGTTTCATCCATACTGTTACAGTATTTGTGGTTTGCTCATTCCCATTGCTGTGTTACCATATTCCATTGCACAAACACCACCGTAACCTAGGTCTTCTAACGATCATTCATCAGAATGTCAGCAAGCAGAGGATGAGTAATAAGAGCCCTTCTCCAAAGCTCAAAATTTCAAGTGGTGACGGGTGACAGGCCATGGTGCTAAGTCTCGCTAAGCAAGGTGAGGCCCTGACTCATGACACTGACTTAGCTGATCACTACTTGTGCTTTTCAGATCGATGAAGTTGCATATACCACCCTGACCTTCAAAGCCCAGGAACCAACACAACCAACTTCAGCCTCCCCATCCTCAACAGCCACAGAAACGGTTTATTCAGAAGTAAAAAAGAAGTAATGCAACCTGTCCAGCTCACTGCACTGCTGATGTCTTCCAAATCTCTCACCCTCATCTCCAGGAGATCCCATTACCCTCAGGGGAAAAGGGAAGAAGTCTCCCCCACCCTTTCTTCCCTAATAGGCACCTCCTGGCTGCCTGGTCGCAGCCGCTCCCTTCAATGTCAATACATGAAAAGGTACATCCGGGAGTCTGGGAGTCTGTAGGAAACCAACCTTGTCATTGAAATTTGGCAAAGCCAACTTGGGACAGAGTTGCCAGAACCTCCCCACCCCTCCCCCTTTCCCCTACCTGGACTTGCTTTAAACTTATCTATGTAGCACTCACTCATTCCTTCCCACCCCAGTCCTGTCCTATCAGAGTCTAACTTGAATTTGCCATAACCTTGAGGTTATGCCCTTCTCCACTGAAGTACACGTGCCAGAAAAGAAGAGAGAGAGGGAGAAAGTAAAGGCAGTAATGGCCTCTCCTCTCTCTCCAAAGCCTGGTGTGAACCCACCATACCCAGAAAATCAAACATATAACCAATACTGACCTTGGAAATTCTACACCTTTGTCCACTGTCAGGGTTGTCTACCTACAGGATCAGGGTCTAGGCACCTTGCTGCTTACCTAAGCCCTTTGGTAAACCTGTCTCCAGAGAACCCGCTAGAACCAACTAGGAAAACTATTTGCCAAGGTCCACAGGCGATTCCTGATGGAAAATGCAGAAGTGCACAAATGTTGTATTATCTTCCGAGGGCAGATGGGATCCCGCGCGGTCAGGGCAGGGCAGCCGCAGACACGTTGTAATATCTTTATGGGCTTTATTCAAGGACGTGCTGAAAGAGGGAGGGGTTACAGCTTTAGGGGGAAACGAGCCTTTAATAGACACAATCTGCTAGGAACTCGGTAAATGAATCAGAGAGCCACCCTTCAGAGATTATTTAAATTATTGTTTAAAAGTGCACAGTTCGAGGTATTGAGGGTTTTCTCCTTTTTTCTGCCATTTCAATTTTTGTAACTGTTTATTTATGTGAAAAGGGTTATTTTTACTTAGATTAGCTGTTAAGCCAATCTGACTGCCTTGGGTGAAAGAAACCACCCAAATCCCTCAGGTCTCTTGGTCAAGAGCCTCTCAAGGCTTTTTGTCAGGGGCTCCAAATAGAAAATAAGAAGAGGCTTCCTCGTTTGTGGCTATAAATGGATCTAACTCAGTTTCTAGGCACCTCAGACCAGTCATCAACTACCATTCTATTCCACGTCTCTACCTGTGCATCTTCTGTCTGCCCACTCGCCGTCTCAGGAAACCTTGCCTCCGCTAAGGTGTATTTGGTCTTTGAGAAGTAGGAGCACCCTACAGGGACACTATCACCCACGCTGGTGGCATTGTTTACAACTAGAAGGCTGTACTGGTGCTAATACCCTTGGGAAACAGGGCTGTAAGAGGGTGTTAGGGCATGAAGGGGCTTGTTATAACTCAGCCCTAGGCATTTTGAACAGCCTCTGAGATCTATCTTTTTTCCCACGGGGTCCATGAATGTGTCTCAGAATAAAAAGGAAGGGCAGGAGGAGAGGCAAATGTGCTTCTCACCCAGCCTTCTTCTATACAGATGGAATCTCTTTGGGGCTAAGAGAAAGGTTTTATTCAATATTGCCTACTTGATCTCATGCTATGTCTAAGAGGCCTTCTCCAAGACAATTAGCTGGAAATTCTATGTACTCAGGTACCTGATTCAGGGTTTTCTAACCCTGACATGATTGTACATACTTTCCCTCATCCATGCTATACTGTGTTAATTAATTTTGTCTGGCTAAGGCCACTTCCCAATTATTTGTAAAATTTGCTTTATATTTCTAATAAAAATTATATATCACACATCAACATGCTGTCTCATGGTTGATACTACTTTAGACAATGTCATCTTTACAGGCAGAAGAAAGAAATTGTTCTATGGGGAGTCAGAGTAAACCTATTTCTCAGTCTACAGATATTTGATCTAGTGATCAGAGAATTGGCTAAATTCATTCGCACACCTGCTAACAAAGTGGGTATATCTGGAAGCAACAGACCACAGCTCCAACCCGCCTGGAAGGAACTGCCTGTCTTCCTCCAGGAGAGAAGATGATTTCATGAGCAAAAGATCTCCGGGCCTCTTCATTAGGGGCCAACAACACTTCCCACACAGGTGGATCCAGCAATTCAGGTGTAGGAACACGAGAGTCTCCACAGGTTCAGTCACACAGAAACTTCCCTAGACCTCCTGTCTCCTCCCTGTTCCCAGTTCCTTTTTTCTGCCCTCCCAGAGGGTCAGATCTCTTCAAATATGAATAACCTTCATTTATTAATTCCACTAAGTATTAACCTCTTAGCTCATTTCCTTCACTCCCAAGCAATTGACATACGGGTGCTGCCTCTCCCTTTCCTCTTCACCTAATTCCTCCTGCCCCCGGCAGTGGTGCCTCCATACCCAAGACCACGGGAAGCAGCATAAAACCAGTGACCATCTC